TGTGTGTGTGTGTGTGTGTGTGTGTGTGTGTGTGTGTGTGTGTGTGTATATGAGAGAGCATGGATGTGGGTTTGCCCCTAGCAGAGACATGAACGTTTCTGGAAAACTGCAAGATGCATGAGAAAAGAAGAACGAGAACAGTGCAGGAGAAAAAAAAGAGGAAGGTGGCTGTGGACGAGGTCATGGTGAACAGGAAGTCAGAGAAAGAGGACAATGAAAAAAAGAGTCAGCTTGTGCTTCCTCTACAGCGAAGGGCTACCAAAAACACTTATGACACGGCTTAAATCAAATCAAATGATGAAGATCAAAGCAGGTAGCAAAAGCTTGTCGTCTTAGAAACATTAACCAATTCTCTTATAAATGTCAGCAAAACAAATGTTGCAGCGAAATGATACACCAGGGTCCTGAGATGAGAGATGTTGCAGCTGCACAATTATTGATTTCTGATTGTGGTCATTGGTGGATGAGTTCACATCAAAAGCAGAGCTGAACTATAATTTTAGTAATTAGATCGCTAAGCTCATCTATTGCCATGTCTGTATGACAAAGAGTAAAAAAATATCAGGATGAATTGTGTTTGACCTAATAAAATGTTTGTACTGTTTATGCAATAATTGCTTTCGTGCCATAATCAGAAAAAAAACAACATGGGTGCTTTTCATTTAGCTATTGTGTCTCCTTGTTTAATTACTCGCATCTGTTCCTTGCACCTTGGCCCGTGAAGATGCAACAGAGAAATGCATGGAAGGATGAGGAATGGCATCGACTGAAGGGGTCATCTTTGTTTAACCCAACACCACCGTTCTAAAGACGAAGCAATTACTGATAACGCACAGCTGTCCTGCAGACCGTGACGCGCTCGGTGCGGCTACACGTGTCCCCCACGGGTTGTTTGAAAAAACAACGCGGTATTGCAGTAAATGATGTATTAATGATACTGCAGTAATGATCACAGAGCCCTACAGTCCCTTCAGACCGACCGCAGGGATTGGTCGCTTTATACGAAAAGGTTTAGACACTTAAAAACATCCTCACTGACGGCAAATCTCAGCTAATTTCCAAGTCGGGGGAGGGGGGGATCCCTGTTTGGGCAGGGTTTACACACACAGCACGATGCGGCAAAGTAGTCAGAGCACAAAATCACCACCTGGCCATTTCTGGCACAATGTACGGTTACACACACAAGCATGCACAGACTCACAGGACCTCGCTGATAACAGAAGTGAGCACCCTAATGAAGTGTTCAATCTATAAATCAGTTGGAGTTTTATTCCATCAAAATGGGAAGCAGTGAGTGATGAAAGTCTGTATTATCCAGACTGACACAATATGGACAATATGGCCTCCCTCACCATTCCTCTTGGTCACTCTTCTTTTTTTTTTTTTTTTAAGTCTGTCTCTACTTCTCTTTTCTCAAGAAGGAAGGCACTGATCTTGAAAGCGCTCTCACGCCATTTAGGGCTAAATTACGCTTATTTCCCCTAATCTTTTCAAATCTTCTTGTTAGCCGTCTAAGGCACTTAAAGTAAACTAATACATTCATAAGCAACATCACAGCAACCTGCTGCCCAGTGTGGTCGTGCCGTGTGTGTGTTTGCGAGCGTCCCATACTTGAGTAGATGGTCCTTGGTGCTGCGGGTCTTGGTGAGGAACCTCTCTGCCAGCTTCTCGAGGTTGCGGCTGTAGTCCACCTCGATCTCGGCCTTCTTTCTGAAGAAGTCCTGCAGGTCCTGCAGCAGCTGCACCCTCAGCTCACACTGCTGATCCAGACACTTGAGCTGCTCCACCAGCTGGGCACGGATCTCTGTCGGGGGTGATAGAGAGACAGAGGTGAGTTTAATGTCTTCGCTAGCTCTGATGCAAACCGCAATCCTGGTTCATCAACACATTGAATCAACGTTTTGAGATACATGCCATAACAATGTGTAAGATGTAGAAGTCTGAGGTAGTTTTTCTGCTTCAGCAGCTGATGTGGATGAAGCCGAGCTCTAGTGAAACACCTGGCGGGGCCATGACACAGCAGCCTGGAGTCTTAGCTGAAACCCGCTCCCCTCCCACCAACCATAGGCTTCTGTGCATGTCTGTACATCATCATATTTTATACGCATCTGTGCAATGCGGGATCAGCTTTTCATCTTTCCACACACGGATATCTCCAGAGGCAGTCATTCATCCCGGCTTATCACTTTTCATTTTCGTCCCGCCTCCTCCCCCTCTCCCTCCCGCATGCTGCTCTCCGGCCTGGCCTCAAATTAATAGAGTGCACTCCGTAACCATATTCAATCACTGGCTACAAAAAAAGTCCTCTGGAGAGTCCTGACCACTGCAGTTATAGACCGGCACACACCAAGCGTCTGCACCAACACGTACAAGCACATAGACGCCCGAGAACCAACACTCTGATGGTGATACGCTGGATCAGTGCTGACAGCTGACAGATTAATGCTATGCTCTCATAGCTGCCTGCCAATGCTGAGCAGGCTGCACATGCATCCTTTTAAAGAGTTAGGAAACAACACACACACACACACACACACACACACACACACACACACACACACACTTGACTAGTTTACCACAGCTGTCCTACCTTTACAACGCCGGCTGTAGAAAAAGCGGACGGTTTTGGCTTCCATCCTGGCTTCAGTGCACTGTAGACTCCCCTCACATACACACTAATGCATTCAAACACACACAATCACAGGCAGACAGTCAGCCAGCCGTCCGGGCTGACAGCGACTGTTGATGCTGCCTTTGTGTCTAACAGCTGAGAGAGCAGTTTCTCGTTACCACAAAGAGAAGTGGGATATCTAAATGTGTCTGTGCCCCCCCCCCCCCCCCACACACACACTTCTTCCTTCCTCTCGCTCATAAACACAGAGCAAAACATTGTGCCACTAGCCAGCGGCTGCGTCCGCTCACAGTCATTCTTTACTGATTAAAAGGCCAGAACAGAGGAGTTTTGTGGCATTATGACACTACGGCGCAAACACTCACACACGCAACAAATAAATGCACACACACAGTCTGTGCCTGTGCTAATGACCTGGTGTGAATATCTGCTTTGACAACACATGTTGTTGTCTTGTGGTCCGTCTGTGATGGGGAGTGAGTCAGTGTCTCGCCTCTCAAGGCTGCGACACAAAACCTCGGGATGTGGGCCTTGTAATCAACCGACCCAACGCACACCACATGCACAAAGTAATCAAACTAAAAACAAGCGCTCCTGTCCATAAGGAGTGTAAGAAGGTGAAAGAAAGCACAATCAGCCGTGGGTGCATCTTGAGGGGTGGAGGACACGTAGAGAGAAAAAGTGACATCGGTCCCTTTTGACCACCGCTGTTTAGAGAGCAGGTTTAATGGGGGTAAAATCAATTTAACAGGGAGGCCATGCACTGTGCCCCAAAGACCCTCTCAGGCCCCTAACAGTCACATTAGGATGAAAAGCGATTCTGGCAACACGCTCCATTTATAAAATATATGGCTGTGTGGCTCAACCAAAGCCAACCCTGAGTTCTCCACACTATATCTTGTTGATACTGGCAGTTAAACTGAATTTCCCCGAGAGGTCTTAAAAGGTTTGTGTCCATCTAGACGCCGTTGTCGCCCAACAGGAGAGTTGAGGAGTGTTAGCTGGGATACGGTGAGCTTTGCACAAGAGGAAAGATGGATGCGGGTCTTGCTTTCCGCCTCATCCCTCTGTAATGGTCATCATCCTCTGAGCCAGTAAGACGTCGGATGTGAACTGGAATGTGACGCCTCCACCCCTTCCAGACAACCCAGTCACATTTTCCAGGCAGATGACAGCAGGTCTCGTAATCGGGCTCTGGGATTCTACTTTACTGATGCTCTCCCTTCTCTTTTTTTTCCCTGCTCTGTCTGTACGAGCCTTGTCCAGATACACTTTTCACTTTGTTCCCCAGTCAAAGCAGCTCTTCCTCTCATTTTCCTGCGTGAACAGACCGGTCTACATGTTGCCCATGTCGACCTATAGAAGGTAACTAGTGAGGTCACAGTACACACAAATCACCATTTTCACTCCTCCTTGAGTGGCAAACCATACCAGTCAACATGTGCCATCATTGATATGTGAATAAACTGATCAAGAGGAGGAATCCTGCTTTAAAATAAGACCAGGAATTTACGCTCGTTTGGGATTTGTTTAGTGCAAAAGTTCTCAAAGTGCGTGGCCAGAGAACTGACAGTTGGGGCCCGTGTGGCCGGAAGGAAATGTGATGCAAAACTAGGTGAAAGGAACGCTTGTGATCTTGATGTTATTTCAACAGGAGGGGGAAATGTGTCTTCCTCAGAAGGAGGGGAATGACAAACGTTTGAGAAGCGCTAGTTTGCTGGTGTAGCGCTACATATATAAATGCTGTAGCTACGTACATTTATTTTCCTATAATTCATCAACCCCAGACATCTGACAGTCTCATATGTATCACTGTCTTTTTTTTTTTTTTTTAGATCTGTGTTTGTTTTCCTTATTTTATTCCAGCCCAGTCATGGGAGCCACCTGTTGGTTTTGGCGCTGAGTGGAGGTGAGGGGGTGGTATCGTGTGATTAAGTGCGTGATTGATTACCCTCCATATGTCGGGCTTTTCTATGTCGAAACAACGCGAGCATGAAATCTCTCTCAAACCATTTCACCCAAAGCTGCCCCTCCTCATCATGCATTATTGACTAGTTTGCTTATTCCGACCCAGAAAAGGGAAGATGAAAGTAGAGCGAGATGATGGATGGAGACAGTGTGACCATACTACAATGACCTGACCACCGTGGTGGATGCCTGCAGTGGGCAGACACGCTGCTGCATACAAATGTGTGATGTTTACTTCAAAAGGGAAGAAACAAGAAACAGAAAAAGGAAATAAAGATGCTGCCAAAAGGCAACCCGACCAGTCATATAGTCGTACTTTGGCAAGCACAATGTGGAGACTGAAAGTAATGTTTCCCCTGCAACATTACCTTTTATAGCTGACAGCAAACATACCACCAGCTTTAGGCTGTTTAGCTGGAAGCTGACAGAAGTGATGGCGGCCCTGGATGCCGTTCAGAGCTGGCCTAGATACAGGAGCCACACATACTGCTGCTAGCACTCATTATACCTGAAAACACCTTGGGCTATGGGTGCAGCACGCACACACGCACACACACACACACACACACACACACTCTCAGTGACGTGACACTTTGAGTCCAAGCTGTCACTCTGAGCCGTTTTGACGGTAGCTCTCCAGCCTGCTCTTGGAAGCCCCACCTCCAGATCTGTCCTGCTCTATTACTGGACTGTAGTGAGAGACACACACACACACACACACACACACACACACACACACACACACACACACACACACACACACACACACACACACACACACAA